GTGTGTGTGTGTGTGTGTGTGTGTGTGTGTGTGTGTGTGTGTGTACGTACTCACCTAGTTGAGGTTGCAGGGGTCGAGTCCAAGCTCCTGGCCCCGCCTCTTCACTGGTCGCTACTAGGTCACTCTCCCTGAACCGTGAGCTTTATCATACCTCTGCTTAAAGCTATGTATTTATGTATGGATTCTGCCTCCACTACATCGCTTCCCAAACTATTCCACTTCCTGATTACTCTGTGGCTGAAGAAATATTTCCTAACATCTCTGTGATTCATCTGTGTCCCCTTGTTGCTGTGTCCCATCTCTGGAACATCCTGTCTTTGTCCACCTTGTCAATTCCTCTCAGTATTTTGTATGTCATTATCATGTCCCCCTATCTCTCCTGTCCTCCAGTGTCGTCAGGTTGATTTCTCTTAACCTCTCCTCGTAGGACATACCTCTTAGCTCTGGGACTAGTCTTGTTGCAAACCTTTGTACTTTCTCTAGTGTGTGTGTGTGTGTGTGTAATTACCTTTTTTATAATATAAATTTGTATGTACAGAGCAATGATCATGGTGTCTTAAATTTATTATTATTATTGTTATTCTACAGGCATTTGCATTTAAACTTTCTCTCAGAATGCAACCCACTCAGATACTGTTTATATTTTCCCTGCCTGGGAATCAAACCTAGGTTCTTTTGGTTGTGCCCCAGATGTTCTAACCAGTGGTTTGTGTAATTAACTACTTGAAAGTAATTTATTTGTATCTACAGAAATAGAGGTATGCTCATTGTATACCAGGGTCACTAGTTAGTTGTCTTATAATTTCTCAAATATTCCAGTGCATCTGGCATTTACTACTGCCTCTTTTTCACATTCCACTAGTTTACCACTCTGAAAATATACTTTTGGATTGCTTACCATCATTTTTTCCTCTGCTTACAATTGTAGCCTCTTGTCCCTATTACTATCACAAAGATATAAAAATAGTTATAACTATGATCATAATTTTTAAAGGGGTGGACTGGGAACTACTTTGTTGCATGTTCCTGGACCTTTTCTATTTAATCTGCATATTTCAATTTGGTCAAACACTTTTTTAATAGCATTTCACCGCCCATATACTGTACCCAAAATATATTCTGATGCTCGCCAGTACGGTGCTGTATAGCATGAGTTTCTTACAATTTCACTTATGTGATTGTCTGATTAAATTAGTGTACTCTCAGGTCCCACAATCAGACACTGTAAATATTTTGCCCCACTCTATATTTCTTATCTGTCCTATTTTTGCTTTATCCTAGTTTCATTTTGTGGCACTGTGATGTATTAAATTTGTCATCCACCTCAACTTATCCACAGGTTTTTTCCAGTTTGGCTTCAGGTGTACCATACTCTATTTTTTCTCATTCATAATGATTCTAAAGCCAGGCTTTTTTTATTATTATTATTACTCAGTATATGTTTGTATATAATGTTTCATGGATTTGTCTTTCTTTCTTTTTTTATTTTTCATAGCTTTGATTTGATTCCTTTTTAATTCCTGCTCATTGGTTTGCTTAGTTATTTGATAAGTGAGTTCATTCTTAATACTCTGTAGAAAGCACTTTTCTTTCTCACTTTTATCATTTAATTTTTTTTGTCAGTTTCTATAAAATAATTGCTTTTATTCTCTTCTTTTACTGGTCTTCCATGATTAATATATCCTCGTAACCTTGTTCTTTGTACTTTTGACATACTTTTTATCAATTTTTCCTTGTGTTTCACCTGGATGTGTTACTTTTACTAGCCTGTTCTTATTTTTCATGAAATTTTCATCTCTCCTATACATTGCTAAATGCTCTTCATTGTTGAAATTGTCTAATAATTTTATTATCTAATTGATTTGGCAAAATGTACTTCCTTTTTATCTCTTTTTCTGTTCTTGATATAATATTTTTTTGAGTACAGTCAAAGAAAGGATAATCAGTTTGTGTTTGTTGATAGTTTCTTGTAATAGATTATGATTTCTGTACATATATGAAATTGTTAGCAATAGTGCTCTTTTTATTTGCCTCGTGTACGTGTTTTTCAATTCTTTTCATAGCTTGATAACACAGCTCTCCTCTGTCTTTGATTTACTAGTAGTGTTCACCAGTCTCTCTTCTCTGAGTGTAGATCATCTTGCTATTTCTCTATGTTTAACAATGCAGTTAGCTACCGTATGTGCAGTATGTCACTGTCACTGTCTCTGTCTTTGTATTCAGTTTATCATTTTCTTTAGCTGACTCATGAATTCTATTTTCCTGTTTTCTGTAAGTGTTTGGTGGCTAAATTATATATGTTTTAAATTTATTTTATAATATTTTCTGATTTGCTTTTTCAGATGCTAGTAGTACAATTTTTTTTTGTTATTTGTAGGTAAAGGTATATATCACTACTGATATTGTAAAATTACTGTTTATTCTCTTGACATGCTATCCCCTAATTATACTGGAGACTGTTAATTAGGTAAAGGATGGCTCATATTTCATTTAACTACTG